CATGTTTTGTATATATATATATTTTAGTTGGTCAATTAATTTCTTTCTATTTTTGGTAGAGACGGGGTCTCGCTCAGGCTGGTTTCGAACTCCTGACCTTGAGCGATCCGCCCGCCTCAGCCTCCCAAAGTGCTAGGATTACAGGCGTGAGCCACCGCGCCCGGCTGACCTTGTACTTTTGAAGATTCCGGGCCAGTTATTTTGTAGAATGTCCCTTAGTTTGTGTTAATCTGATGTTTCCTTATGATTAGATTCAGGTTTGCATCTTTGGCAGACATGAAGCTTTGTTCTTACCTCATCTTAGAGTGCATGGCTTTTTTTTTTTTTTTTTTTGAGACTGGTACCTAACTCTGTGTCCCCTCAACTCCATAAGACACAGGTCAGGGTCCTCAAAAGATTTTTTTTTTTTTTTTGAGACTGGTCTTGCCCTGTCGCCCAGGCTAGAGTGTAGTGATGCAATCATAGTCAACTGTAACCTCAAACTTCTGGGTTCAAGCAGTCCTTCCACCTCAGTTTCCCATATACCTGGGACTACAGGCATGAGCCGTTAAGCCTGGCCACGGTCTTGTTTAGTTTCATCACTTGATGTAACTACTTCGTTATGGCGCTCACCGTCCATGAATCCTTGCCCACAGCCAGCACTCATAGTCCGCACGATAGTTTGTGCTGTGCATTGACGACAAATCCATTTTGCTCTTGTGTGATGAGGAAAGCTTTAAAGCACTGAAAACTTGTTTTACCTTATAGGCAGCTTTACTTGTAATGTAAATCAGAGTAGGTAACATATACATATATGTTTTCATTATGTTATTTTTAAATGTTCACAATTTTATTTTGATAAAATGAAAAATTAGAAAAGTCATATCATGGCTATCGGCTAAAGTTGACGCTCAGCTGTGCGCATTCATCTGTGGCTGTCATCGACGCTCATACTGAAGTGGTTAAGTTGGTGTCTGCCAGACTTCTCCCCAGAAAAAGGCAAAGTTGACCTTTTTTTTTTTTGGAAAATACCCCTGAGCTTATAAAGTTGACCTTTTTATCTTAATTATTTTGTGGGAAGTACTTTAAAACTATGTAAAGATCCTATTTCTCATCAAATTTTCAATTTTTACATTGATTTATCATATCAGTATAGATCATGGTTTCCTATTTTGTTCAGTGGTTTTTAATTTACTATGATTTTTTATTTTGATTTTCAAATTACCCTAGATTGTACTAGTAGGAGCTAGACTCTGGGGTCCTTTTGACAATAAACTCTTTCCTTTTGGCATGTGAGTGTGTTTCAGACTCATTTTGTGCCTTCCCTTGCCTAGCTTTGGAATCAGCCATTTTTTCCTTGAGCCCTGGGTTTTTCTAGTGGATAATGGTATTTAGTGGACGAGATCTGGAGTTAGGTGTGTTCATTGCTATTAGGGTGTTACAACTCTTAGGCTCTCTCAAGGGACAGCTCTTTCATTCTGCTGTGGCTTCAGCAACCTATACCAGGCTATCCTGCGTGGCCACCCTCCTTAGGCCACTTTTGTGTTCTAGTGCCTCACACCAAGCTATCACTCCATTTGGATGTGCTAAGAACAGAATATTTTGAAATATTGGTTTTGATATCTCCGATGGAGTTTGAGCAACTGTCACAAACGCTTGCTGCTTCCAGAGAACACCATCCACAAGTAGGATGACGAAAGATGTGAGCAGGGCTTTGTGAGGCCTACAGACGACGCCGGCCCATCCTTTTTC